TTGTATGGTATGGTATGTTTTTGTATGGCATGGCATGGTATGGTATGGTATGGTAGGGTGTTGTTGTTTTGTATCATACAGAATAGTATTGTACAGTTTTGTATGGTATTGTACCTTATTCAGTACTGTATCTTGTTTTGAAACCCTAGAAAGACGTGACAAATATCCACAAATTTGTATCTATGMGTTGATGATTTCTTCGGCTGAAGACTCGTTCTGATGTGACTCAAGRTCACATCTGAGTTCAGCTTTCTTCTTAACAAACAGGTTGTTATCTAGTGGAGAACTCACGAAAGGATGGAGGACAGGGAGAGCATCTCAGCCGTCAGGTAGGCCAGGTACCCCACGACAAAGATGAAGCCGGGCTCGATGATCTGGATGTTTTTGGTGCATCTGGATAAAAGTGAGATGAGAAGCCCGAACACGAACCCCAGGAGAGAACCTCCAAACGCCACCACGAAGAAGGAAACTGTGGAGGAACACGGGTCAGTCTACCCATTCAAACTTAAGGTTTAATGTCTACCAATAAAAAAGTCAATAATGTCTCACTTATTCCTTTAACGATCTCAGCTGCCGTGACTTTAGCTCCTCCAAGCGTCACGAACGCATCAAAGACGTTGAAGAGCACCTACGAAACAGAAAACCAACAGATTAACATTATTTTACATGAGAAAGAYGATACCTTCAGGCAGCAGGTAATCTTTAAATTACAAATACAAATACACGTGATCAAGTTTCTTTTTCTATTCAGTCTGTGGCCTCGTTCTTAGAAAGGAGTCGCCTTGTTTTAATTGTTCCTTGAAATCCTTTCTGTTCCACTTCTGAACCGAGTTAAATTTCACAACCTGTTCAGGTCAGGAACTCCTGACCGAGTCCTGCTTTTTATAGCTTTACCTTCCAGAAATCCAGACTTGTGCTTCTGAGCCCACAGCATTAAAAAAAAGATAAAAAGATTTATTTTTGGACTCATTTGCGTCGTGTTCTGCAGAAACATTTTCTTTTTAACCTGAACTTTTAAAATTCTGAGACTTCAGAGACATTTCTGCTCTTTGGTTTCATCAAACCCAAATAATAAAATAAATCTGCGGTTCACAGAATCCCATCAAGTCAGAGGAAAGTAAGGGTGCTGAAGGCGCTGCAGCACGTCCTGACACTAGAGGACAGAGGTCTACGGTAAGTACTTTAACTTTGTTACAATATATAAGTAATTTCTTTGAGAATTTGTAATTTTACCTATTGTTTTAATCRCAACTTTAATTTTTATTTCATTTATTTCGGGCGTGTTATTTTATAGAAATTTATTTTCTCGTCTGTCTTTTTAGTGCTTTTATTTTGCTAAACCGTGTTCAGTCAGTTTCAGGAAACCTGAGTAGATCCGGACCTGGRCTTTGTCTGCACACGTGTTAAACTGTGGGAAGTTAAAACCTCATCTGTGCGTCCAAACAGAATTACAGATTTACAGCTCTGTGCAAAAGTCCTGATGCACTCCTGCCAACCGAGCTTTTGGTTCTTCTTCCTGAACGTTTCCACACGAAAAGGTCCAGAGGAGCTGCGATACGAACCACAGTGACGCCGTCGTTCAGCAGCGACTCTCCGAACACCATGATGAAGAGGACCTCGTTGACGTGGACCTGCTCGAACACGGCGAGGACGGCCACCGGGTCGACGGCGGCCAGCAGGCTGCCGAACAGGAGGTACTGCAGCAGACCGATCTCTGTGTCTCCTGCAGGACGGAGACGAGACAAACCTGAGGACAGCTCAGAAACATTTGTTATTTTGTCCTCCAACACCTGAACCCACCCGGCCTTACCCATGGCCCCGCCCTTGTTGCACCCCCACAGCGACAGCCCCACGCTGGCGGCGTTCCAGCAGGTCCCGATGATGGCGTGGATCAGGATACCCCCCAGGTTGGTGAAGAACATCTTGTTGGGCATGCTGTAGCCCGCGTCCAGGATGATCTGAGGCAGCAGGAAGAAGAAGAAGGTCCTGGGGGCCAGCTTGAAGGTCTGCTGCTTGTCGGCCCCCCAGATCATGCCCCCCAGGATGAAGCCRCAGCAGATGAGCAGGGCGCTCTCCGGGATGTACTCGGTCACGTGGTGGTTGGCCTCGATGACTGAGGGACAAACGGGAACAGGGTCAGACGTGGGTTTGTCTTTGGAGCTCTTTTCTTTGCAGATTTATATTCGACTCCTCAGCTCACAACAAAGAGGCTAGCGACTAGCATGGATAGGTTAGTGTTAGCATCAAAAAGGCTAGCGACTAGCATGTATAGGCTGGTGTTAGCATGAAAGAGGCTACCAACTAGCATGGATAGGCTAGTGTTAGCATCAAAAGGGCTAGCGACTAGCATGGATAGGCTGGTGTTAGCATGAAAGAGGCTAGCGACTAGCATGGATAGGCTGGTGTTAGCATGAAAGAGGCTAGCAACTAGCATTGGTAAGCTGGTGTTAGCATCAAAAGGGCTAGCGACTAGCATGGATAGGCTGGTGTTAGCATCAAAAGGGCTAGCGACTAGCATGGATAGGCTGGTGTTAGCATCAAAAGGGCTAGCGACTAGCATGGATAGGCTGGTGTTAGCATCAAAAGGGCTAGCAACTAGCATGGATAGGCTGGTGTTAGCGTGAAAGAGGCTAGCGACTAGCATGGATAGGCTGGTGTTAGCATGAAAGAGGCTAGCGACTAGCATTTATACGCTGGTGTTAGCATCAGAAAGGCTAGCGACTAGCATGGATAGGCTGTGTTAGCATCAAAAAGGCTAGCGACTAGCATGGATAGGCTGGTGTTAGCATCAAAAGAGCTAGCAACTAGCATGGATAGGCTGGTGTCAGCATAAAAAGGGCTAGCGACTAGCATGGATAGGCTGGTGTTAGCATCAAAGAGGCTAGTGACTAGCATGAATAGGCTGGTGTTAGCATCAAAGAGGCTAGCGACTAGCATGGATAGGCTGGTGTTAGCATCAAAGAGGCTAAGACCAGCCTATCGAGGCTAGCCACTAGCATGGATAGGCTGGTGTTAGCATCAAAGAGGCTAAGACCAGCCTATCGAGGCTAGCGACTAGCATGGATAGGCTGGTGTTAGCATCAGAAAGGCTAGTGACTAGCATGGATAGGCTGGTGTTAGCATAAAAAATGCTACAAACTAGCATGGATAGGCTCGTGTTAGCACCAGAGAGGCTAGCGACTCGAATAGATAAGCTTTTTAAATCTTTTTTTATTCAAAAAATAGAATAGACAATCTAGGGTTAGCATAGGAGACGTTAGCAACTAGCATGAATAATCTGGCAATAGACAAGGGCAAACACAACTGCTAATTCAGGTGGGATAAAGCTGTCTGCTTCACAGTAACATGTTTTTATCTAATATTTATACTTGACGTCATGCTGAACAGTAAATTCCATCTAAGGAACACCTGTCAGTTCATGATGCTTATAGGTTTTATATGTCAAACATTTTTGTTGGGAAAGTTTTTTTTAATTCAAATGGTTAATTTCAAATAAAGGTAAGCAGCTAATCCATGCTAGTTGCTAGCTTCTCCGATGCTAACACAAGTTAATAGTCTCTTTCTAATCTGCCAGCACCGGCCTCAGTTAGCGGTGCTGGCCCATCATTGATCAGATCAACAGCTGGTTTAGGAACAGATATTTTCCTAGTTGAATAATAGTCTCAGTTTTGGCCGTCATACCAAACTGTTTGCATCTACAGCTCAGGAATTTTACAGATTTTACTGCGTCTTCATCGTTCAACATGTCTTTTTTTCTAATTTCCTCCTGAAAAGAGACACTTCGTGGTTCCTCCTCCGGAACCGGCAGGTCCAGAACCACAGCCGGCAGGTTGTAAATGGATGATCAGCTCAAAGTTTGCACCATAACTAAACTCTGAATGTTAAACTCCTGTAGCTGCAACAAGTCCAAATGACYGACTGTTGGTGTCACTTTGTCCTGATGAATAACCAGCTTTATGAAATGTTCAGTTCAGGTTTTTGCTGCAGGTTTTTGTCTCGCTGAAGAATCACTGATGATCATTTAATAATAAAAGTTAATGGAGCTCAGTGTGAAAGACTCCTGCAGACATTTTATCCTGTTTCAAGCAACATTTTATTATTTTTCTGTCTTGTTGCACGGCTTTAAATTGAAACATGAAAATTAAACATTAAGGCTCACTGTGGGAATAATGAGCTCTGAAGTTTGGTAACAACAYGTTGCACAATGTGGACAAACTTTGCAAAGAACTAAAAAGAAATKTTCTCATAGACAAAAGGAATTTTGTTAAAAACGCCACCGTCTTCCCATCATAGCTTTAAATAAAACATGCGAAACATCACGAAAACGTGGGTCGAACAGGAAAAGTCTGCTATGATGTTTATCAGGTCGCAAAGTTTTAAAATAAAGTGTAAAAAAATTCCCTAAATCATTTTTCATAACTTACTGCAACATTTAACTTTCGCATTTAGATCCTTAATTTAATATTTACATCTTTTTTCATTTAAATTTAACATTTAATAAAAAAATAACTAAATGTAAGAACAGTGAGCTGAATAATAAAATGGGTTTGGTGACATTTTTAACATTATTTTACACTTGGAGCCTCATAATAATGTGAAAAACATTTGCAAATAAAAGAAAACAAACCACAGAAATCAGTTATTTGTCACATAAACACAACAAAATACATTTCAGAGCAACCAATCAATGGTTCTGTTGGGTTCTGGTGTTTGGACCTGCAGCTCAGCAGAACCATCACTCAGAATCTCTCACAAGGTTGGACTTTATGTGTCTGAGCTACTTTGTCTCAAACCCTCCCAGAATGCGGAGCGTGCACCCCCATAACTCTTTAAAAACATTTTCAGTCAGGTTCTGAGGTTCTGAGGTTCTGAAGTACTGAAGTACTGAAGTACTGAAGTACTGAAGTACGTACCCAGTTTGCACAGAAAACACACCAGTATCCACAACACAACGATGTACACCGACGTCACATGGTCCCACTTTAAGGAGACGATGGAGATCCCGGTGACGTTGGCCTCGTGTCCGCTGTGTGAATCGGACCTGAGCTGGGACTGCTGGCCCGGCACCGCTGGGATCAGAAACAGCAAACCCAGCAGCCAGAGGTGTGCGAGTCCAAAACGAGCCATGAAGTTAAAAAACAAACRAACTCAAAGCAGACTGAGAGGAAAGCGTCACCTGGTGAGCATCCTCCACCCGTTAGTTCAGAACAGAACCGGACCTGGACTCCTGCTTTTATAGGAGAGCAGCAGGTGGGAGTACCGGCCTCGAGTTATTCAGTCACATCGCTCAGCTTCAAGAGGACACATCTTCACACAGTCTGTGTGTGTGTGTGTGTGTGTGTGTGTGTGTGTGTGTGTGTGTGTGTGTGTGCTACATCAAAGTAAGGCAGCAGACAGAAACCCAGCTCAGCACAGGCTGAGTCAGAACCAGAACAGAACCCAGTG